TCTTCTTTCCTTCCTTCCTTCCTTCCTTCCTTCCTTCCTTTCTTCTTTCCTTCCTTCCTTCCTTCCTTTCACCTCGTCCTTTATTCCTTCCTTCTGGTTTCTATAATATTTATACACATATATAGTCACTGGACACTTTCCTAGAACTGTTATTAGCTCTGGAAGCTTGTTGTTGTGTGTGTGTTTGAACTTATAAATATGCTGAGTCAGGGTGTGGCTGCTGTCAAAATGATAAATTATACCATCACTCACTACCCTTACTGCCTGTCAACACCCATGGGGTCCCATGCCTTCTTCCTCACTGCCCTTCCTTCCTTTTCTTCCTTTCTTCCTTCCTGCCTTCCTTTCTTTCTACCTTCCTTCTTTCCTTACTTCTTCTTTCCTTCCTTCCTCTCATCTCTTCCTTTCTTAATTCCTTCCTTCCTTCTTTCTGGTATCCTGGGCATTGCTTTCGGTCACAAACTCCTCAAAACCATGAAATTCGTCTTCAGAGACACTTCCATCTGTGTTAGAACTATCACTTGGGAAGAGAAGAGTCCCAGATTCGCTGGGTAGTCAGATATTTCTTACCGCTAGGCATGCTGAACAAGGATTACTGAAATGGCACTCCCACAATGCACCACTGGCTCCCTGATTTTTTTTTAGACTGTGTGCACTGACCTTGGAGACCCATTCTCTCACATGTGGGCCTACTAGCTTTCTTCTGCTTGATTTGAAGCCACTAGAATTTTGACGTATTAATACGTCAAAAACATTGGCTCCTAAGACCGATATATACGGCCGAAACAGTCAAAGGGTTAGAGAACACTATGAGGAAAATGCTGCAATAGTCAGAAGAAACAGCAGTGTGGATAATGAAAACCTTGAAAATGAGAAAAATGCCATTGGTAACACTCTTCAAATCACTTGGACTCTCTCACTTAGAATATTGTTCCTTGTTGATGGTTCCATTCAAGGCAGAAGACGGATCAGAGCTGGAGAAGGTACATTATTATTGCAGTGAAACCTCGGTTTTCGTATGCCCTAGTTGGAGACAACTCTTGAAGAAAATTCTCTATAAAATGTATTTTTTGTTAATATTTTTGTGTGTCTGGAACGGATTAATTGGATTTTCATTATTTCTCATGGAAAATATTACTTCCGTTTTCATACGATTCAGTTTTCATCAGACTTTTTCGAACAGATTAATCATGAAAACCGAGGTTTCACTGTATAATCAAAAAGAAACACTAAACCCACTAGGGTCATACAGCACTGCAGGAAAAGGTACAGAGATTGTTAACTATCTGTGTAGGGCCTACAAAGCATTTAAACTACTAAGATATAAATACAGTGGACCCTCGGGTAACGATTTTAATCTGTTCCAGAGAGCTTGTCCTTAACCGATTTTATCATTAGCCAAATTAATTTTCCCCATAAGAAATAATGGAAATTCCAATTAATCTGTTCCAGACACCCAAAAGTATTATTTTTTTTTTTTTTTCACATGAAATATACAATTTCCTACACAGAAAACAATGATACATGAAGAATAAATACTACATGAAGAATAAATGACACTTACCTTTATTGAAGATTTATTGATGAGTGATGAGATGGGAGGAGGGGAGATGATGGAGGTGTATTATTGTTTGGAAGGGGAATCCCCTTCCATAAGGACTTTAGGTAGCAAGTCCTTTTCTGGAGCTACTTCCCTACTTTTTGTAATGCCACTGGAAACAACTGGACAGTCACTGGACCTCCGTTGCACCAAAAATCTGTCCATGGAGTTCTGTTTCTGGCATTCCTTTAAGATTTTCTTAAAATGGGCCACAACATTGTCACTGTAAAAGTCACCAGCACGGCTTGCAATAGCTGTGGCAGGGTGATGTTCATCCATAAAGGCTTGCACCTTTGTCTACATTATACAAATGTCCTTAATCGTTGAAGAAGGCAACTTCCTCCATCTATCTCACCCCTCCTCTGAAGCAATTTCCTCATCTGTGGTCTCTTGCTGTTGCAGCTCATCAGTGGTTAGTTCTTCATCGTTGTCCTCCACCAACTCTTCCACATCCTCCCCGCTAACCTCCAACCCCCTGGACTTCCCCAATGACACAATAGATTCCACAACTGGCATAGGCTCCTCAGGGTTAGCCCCAACCCCTTCAAAATCTCTCTCTTGTACATGTTGTGGCCACAATTTCCTCCAAGCAGAGTTCAAAGTCGGGCAAGCCACTCTCTCCCAAGCTTTACCTATAAGGTTTATGCAACTGAGGATACTAAAGTGATCTTTCCAAAACTCTCTTAGGGTCAGTTTAGTGTCTGTGGTCACTTCAAAGCACTTTTGAAACACTGCTTTGGTGTACAGTTTTTTGAAATTTGAAATGGCCTGCTGGTCCATGGGCTGCAGGAGGCAAAAATTTCACTTTTATGAAATTCAACAGCCCCCCAAAATTTGCTCTTGCAAGTCTGGAGGATGAGCAGGAGCATTGTCTAATACCAGGAGGCACTTGAGGTCCAACTTATTTTCCAGGTGGTATTTTTTCACAGTGGGGCCAAACACATGATAGAACCAATCATGGAAAATGTCCCTAGTGACCCATGCCTTACTGTCTGCCCTCCACATCACACACAAATTAGCCTTGGTGACACTGTTTTTCTTGAACACTCTGGGAGTTTCAGAGTGATACATGAGTAAAGGCTTCACTTTGCAATCCTCACTAGCATTACTACAAAACATTAGAGTTAGCCTGTCTTTCATAGGCTTGTGTCCTGGGAGTGCTTTTTCCTCCTGTGTAATGTAGGTCCTGTTTGGCATTTTCTTCCAGAAGAGGCCTGTTTTGTCGCAATTAAATACTTGCTGGGATTTTAATTTTTCAGTGTCTGTGTACTCCTTGAATTCCTGCACATAATTTTCAGCCACATTTTGGTCACAACTGGCAGCCTCACCATGCCTTTTCACACTGTGTATACCACTATGATTCTTAAATCTCCCAAACCAACCTTTGCTGGCCCTAAAATCACCAACATCAACACTAGTTCCAGGCGTTTTCTTAACGAGATCTGCATGCAACTGCCTTGCCTTTTCACATATGATTGACTGTGAAACACTATCTCCTGATAATTGTTTGTTGTTGATCCACACCAACAACAGTCTCTCCACATCTTCGAGTATTTGTGATCTCTGTTTTGTAAGCATACTTGCACCTTTTGCAACAACAGCTTCCTTGATTGCCTTTCTGTTGGACAAGATAGTAGTGATGGTTGATTGGGGTTTGTTATACAACTGGACCAGCTCGGAGGCACGCACTCCACTTTCACCCTTTGCGATTATCTCTTTCTTCAATTCGATAGCACATTTTACCCTTTTTACCACAGGGTTGGCACTAGAAGCTTTCTTGGGACCCATGGTAGCTTATTTAGCAGTTACAAGCACTAAAAACAATGGAATAATACAAAATGTATCGAATGTATGCGTGGAACTGTCCACACTGGCTTGTAAACAATGGCACACTAGCTGAAGGCGCGCTCGGGCCGGACGGACAGGCAGATGCGTTCGGGACGATTGTCCTTAACCGGGTTTTTCATCATTGGTAGAGCCAATATTTTTATGCTAAAACGCATTGCTATCCGATTTTATCGCTATCCGATGTCATCGTTACCTGAGGGTCCACTGTACACGGAAGATACTTGAGTGCCTACTCCCTAATTCCACACTATTAAACAATGTACTGGAGAAAGAGATATGGGAGGAAGTGTAAAATAGACCAAATGAAGGGCAGGGGTATCATTGACACAAAGAGAATACTGTCACCATCTGTGGCCCAGGTCTATTTAACCTGCTATCAGCAAATATCAGAACTACAGTGGACCCCCGGTTAATGATATTTTTTCATTCAAGAAGTATGTTCAGGTGCCAGCACTGACCGAATTTGCTCACATAAGGAATATTGTGAAGTAGATTAGTCCATTTCAGACCCCCAAACATACACGTACAAATGCACTTACATAAATACACTTACATAATTGGTCGCATTGGGAGGTGATCATTAAGCGGGGGTCCACTGTATTTCTGGAACACCTGGGAGATGAGATCTCTAACAGTCAACATTAAAGCCTAGCTCCAGGCTGACCTGCAAAAGTAGAATTTTTTCATAAACTAATCAAAAGTACATCATAGGTGCCACATGTCTTCCTTCTACTTGTGAGTTTGAGAGATGCCAGTAAGGATGTAGTACTTCTACTCAAAGTAAATTACTCATTTACAGTGGTGCCACAACTTCTTCAACTGATAAATACTTGTAAGAAAAACTGCATATTAATGAGTTTTAAAATATAATCTGGACTTGGTCCTGAGGATAGGTATTTTGAAGAGTTTATTACAAAGGAGGATGACAAAGTTAATCCCATGTATCAGAAATCTTTCCTATGAGGATAGACTGAAGGCCCTGAATCTGCACTCTCTAGAAAGGCATAGAATTAGAGGAGATATGATTGAGGTGTATAAATGGAAAACAGGAATAAATAAAGGGGATGTAAATAGCGTACTAAAAATATCTAGCCAAGACAGGACTCGCAGCATGGTTTTTATGTAGGAAAATTTCTGATTCAGGAAGGATATAGGAAAGCACTGGTTTGGTAATAGAGTTGTGGATGAGTGGAGCAAACTCCGAGTACTGTCATAGAAGCTAAAACGTTTGGAAGTTTTAAAAATAGGTTACATAAATACATGAGTGGGCATGGGTAAGTTTGAGTAGGGACCTGACTAGCTTGTGCTACTAGGTCAGATGCTGTGCTCCTTCCTTAAGTGAATGTGACCTGACCTGACTAGGTTGGGGCATTGGCTTGGGCTGGTGGGGGACTTGAACCTGCCTTGCATGGGCCAGTAGGCCTGCTGCAGTGTTCCTTCTTTTTACATGTTCTTTTGCATTAATGTTATTTCTGAAGATTGCATTTTCATTGATTTTTAGTGTTATAAAAATATTTCACATATTTTTTAATTTGTCTAATGCTTTTTTCAGGACATTTTGGAGCATTTTCATCCAGTATTCCGTCACTTCTTCATGGAAAATTATCCGTCGCCCCATGAATGGTACAAGCGTCGTCTTGCATATACAAAGTCAGTAGCTACAAACTCAATGGTGGGCTACATATTGGGACTAGGAGACAGGCATGTAGAAAATATTCTTCTGGACAAGAGTACTGCAGAACTTATTCACATTGACCTAGGAATTGCCTTTGAACTTGGCAAAATTTTACCAACTCCCGAAACTGTCCCTTTTCGCATGACTCAGGTAATTATGTTGACAACTGTCACATGAGTATATAATGTAACATATAATGTTGTTATTGTCCTGAGCTTGTAACTTGCTATTAAATTATTTTTGTCTTATTGAGAATTATTTTCCCATTGCTACTTTCATATTACAGTGGAACATCAGTTTTCATATGCCCTAGTCTGTATGTAAAACTATAGTTATTCTCTATAAAATGTATTTTTTGTTCATATTTCCCATAAGAAATAATGTAAATCAAATTAATCCATTCCAGACACCGAAAAATGTTAACAAAAAATACATTTTATAGAGAATAACTATAGTTTTTCATACAGACTAGGACTTATGAAAACCGAGGTTCCACTGTAGAACCTTTCTTGACGTAATTGATCTAATTTGCAAGTTGTTTGATTTTGTACTTTAGGATATAATAGATGGACTGGGCGTGATGGGAGTGGAAGGTCCACTTCGGCAGTGTTGTGAGGCAACACTGGGGGTCCTACGCAGCTCAGGGGAAGTGCTGGTAACACTTGTAGAAGTTTTACGTCATGATCCTCTACACCAGTGGACACTTTCACCACAGCAAGTTGCTCATCTTCAGGCCACTGGAGATGATGAAGACCAGGCACTTAGTAAGTGAATTAAACTATAAAGAAAGTGAACACAGCTATGGCATTTAGTGTGTCTAGACAATAGAGGCATACCTCACTAATACAGAGGGTTAGGTTCTAGACCATTGCCGTAAAGTGAATATCATCTAAAAGTGAATCTTTTTTTTTAACACACCGGCCGTATCCCACCGAGGCGGGGTGGCCCAAAAGAAAAAACGAAAGTTTCTCCTTTTACATTTAGTAATATATACAGGAGAAGGGGTTACTAGCCTCTTGCTCCCGGCATTTTAGTTGCCTCCTACAACACGCATGGCTTACGGAGGAAGTATTGTTCCACTTCCCCATGGAGATAAGAGGAAATAAACAAGAACAAGAACTAGAAAGAAAATAGAAGAAAACCCAGAGGGGTATGTATATATATAGGCTTGTACATGTATGTGTAGTGTGACCTAAGTGTAAGTAGAAGTAGCAAGATGTACCTGAAATCTTGCATGTTCATGAGACAGAAAAAAGGACACCAGCAATCCTACCATCATGTAAAACAATTACAGGCTTTCGTTTTGCACTCGCTTGGCAGGACGGTAGTACCTCCCTGGGTGGTTGCTGTCTACCAACCTACTACTTAGGAGAACAGTACTTAACCGAACAAAATCCAGCATTAACAAAGTAAAATTCTTAGTATGGTTCTAGTTTCCACTTACTGTTTGTTATCGTCATGGCTTTGATCCCCGAAACCCTCTCCAGGTATAGATAAAAACACTCACCACAGTTATGTATCACCATTTGCTCATACCAAATACCCTTGAAAAATCATGAAAGTCGAGAAAATGACAGGTTGGATAAAGAGAATTTTTGAAACAAGAAATAGTGCCAGTGGTGAGTTTTCAAACCACTTGTGTTCTCTTGCTATGAGTATTGTTCAGTCTTGATAGCTCTTTCAGGGTCTTCATAGAGCCAATAAAGCTTTTAAATTACTGAGAACACTATAAAGTCCTAAATATGTACTCACTGGAGCAGAGGAGAGACATGATAATACACACATGAAAGGTACTTGAGGGCCCGGTCCCAAATCTGCACACTGCCATAACACATTGGACTGAGAGGTATGGGAGAATGTGTAAAATAAACCCAGTGAAAAAGAGGTGTACTATGGGCACAATAAGAGAACATTGTATCAACATCTGTGGATCCAAATGATTTAACCCTTTGAGGGTTTTCGTCGTACTAGTACGTCTTACGCGTAGGGGTTTTTGACGTACTAGTACTCATAAATTCTAGCGACCTCAAATCTAGTGGGAGAAAGCTGGTAGGCCTTCATATGAAAGAATGGGTCTATGTGGTCAGTGTGCACGGTCTAAAAAAAATCCTGCAGCACACAGTGCATAATGAGAAAAAAAAAACTTTTTCCATTTTTTTTAATAAATCAGCGACTTTGCAGTGTATTTTCGTATGGTATTTATTGTTGTATTCTAGTTTTCTTGGTCTCATTTTATAGAATGGAAGACATATTACTGAAATTGAGATGATTTTGACTGGTTTTACAATGAAAGGTGCCTTGAAATTGAGCTCAAAATAGCAGAAATGTTCGATTTTTACCAAACTTCAAAAGTAAACAAATCGTGCCAAGCGTGCAATACACGTCAACTGGTGAGTCTAATATTCTTTCACAAGTGCACCAATAATATTTATACCATTTTTACACTAATGCAGTAGTCTGCATAACAGTAAATCTTATATTTTTTGTGAGAATAAAAATTCAAAGTGGAAAGCAAAAGAATATAAGAGGGGCCTTGAGACGTGACTAATGACTAGAGGAAATGTCATTTTAGTGCCAGGAATGTCTTTCTTGTTTATTCTGGACCCTATTCCGAAATTGGCATCTTTTGAAATTTGTGTGAAATTGGCAAAATTGCTAAATTCTGACCACTGTACTGGATATTGAATTTATAAATGGGTGGTTTCTTGCACCCATTCGATAGAAAAAATGTAGTTCTAGCCAAATATTCATGTTTTTTGTCGACTAGTACAGTGAAATTGGCCGAAAATGGGGCTCAAAGTGGGCAAAATCGCCGATCCGTAACATCGCCCGAGACCGCTAACTTTGCGAGAGCATAATTCCGTAAGTTTTCTATCAAATTTCAAACTTTTGGTGTCGTTATGATCGGGAAAAGATTCTCTATCTTTTCATAAGAGAAAATAATTTTTTTTTTTTTTTAAATTTGGCCGACCCTGAGAACGAGTTTTGGAGAGGGCCTGTCGACCCTCAAAGGGTTAAGGTGTTTCCACAAGATAGCAGAAACATTGTCAAAACAAGTGTAGTCGTTATCAGGAGGAAATTGGACATGTACCTCATCCAAGTAGCAGATCAACCAGGCTGTGATGGATTTGTGGGCGAGCAGGTGCCGGCAGTAACAGCCTGGTTGATCAGGCAAGCATCAGCCACATCTGGCCCAGGGCCCAGCTCTCAGACTAGCAAAACTCTTGAAATCCTTCAAAGATATACATGTATTAACTCTTTCAGGGTCGAGAGGCCCTCTCCTAAACTTGTTCTCAGGGTCAAAAATTTTTCGAAAAAAAAAAAAATTATTTTTTCTTATGAAATGATAGAGAATCTTTTCCCGATCATAATGACACCAAAAGTATGAAATTTGATAGAAAACTTACACAAAGTTAGCGGTCTCGACGATGTTCATGCATTGGTGATTTCACCCACTTTGAGCCCTATTTTTGGCCAATTCAAATGCACCAGTCGACAAAAATCATAGCTATTTTGTTTGAACTCCATTTATTCTATCAAATGAGTACAAGAAACCAGCCAATTACCGATTTAAACTATCCAATAAAGTGGTCAGAAATTGGCAATTTTGCCAATTTCACACATATTTCAAAAGATGCCAATTTCCAAATAGGGTCCAGAATAAACAAGGCAGACATTCCTGGCATTAAAATAACATTTTCTCTGTTCATTAGTCATGTCCCCACGCCCCTCTTACATTTCTTTTGCTTTCCACTTTGAACTTTTATTTTCACCAAAAAATATAAGATTTACTGTTATGCAGACTACTGTTTTAGTGTAAAAATGGTATAAATAATATCAGCACACTTGTGAAAGAATATTAGACTCGCCTGTTAATGTGTATTGGATGCATGGCATGATTTGTTTACTTTTGAACATTGGCAAAAATCAAACATTTCTGCTACTTTGAGCTCAATTTCAAGGTACTTTTCATTGTGAAACCAATCAGAATCATCTCAATTTCTGTAATATGTCTTCCATTCTATAAATTGAGACCAAGAAAACGAGAATACAACCATAAATACCATATAAAAATGCATTGCAAATTCACTGTTTTAAACCAAAAACACAGTTTTTTTTTTTTCTCATTATCCAATGTATGCTGCAGGATTTCTTTATACTGTGCACACTGACCCTGCAGACCCATTCTTTAATATGTAGGCCTACCAGCTTTTTCTTGCTAGATTTGAAGGTGCTAGAATTTACGCGTACTAGTACGGCACCAACCCTGGCGTGCAAGCAGTACTAGTATGACACTGACCCTGAAGGGGTTAAATGTATCAAAGGATGATGATGATGATGATGAGTGTTAGTGATGACCATACTGATGATGAGTATTAATGACAAATGATGGTGGTAGAGTAGTAGTTTTTTTTTTTTTTTTTTTTTTTAACATACCGGCCATATCCCACCAAGTCAGGGTGACCTAAAAAGAAAAATGAAAGTTTTTCTTTTTAAATTTAGTAATATATACAGGAGAAGTTCTTACTAGCCCCTTGCTCCCTAAGTAGATGTAATCATTATATACTACACAAGTCTGGGGAGCAGTGTTGAAAGCAACGACTTAACACTAGCTTGACCTCTACATTTATGTCATAAATTTTATATACAGGTGCTCCTGGACTTACAATGTTTCCACTTTACAATGTTTCCACTTTACAATGTTTCCACTTTACAATGTTTCCACTTTACAATGGTTCCACTTTACAATGTTTCCACTTTACAATGTTTCCACTTTACAATGGTACAAAAGCATTTACTTTAGAGATGAAACTTAAGATAATTATTCAACATGAAGGTGGCAAGTCCCTAACTTGTATTTATTTATTTATTTATTTTTCAATACCAGTATTTAGTTAGCTTCATTAAGTATTTGTTTATTTACTTTTTCAGTGACAGTAGTTATTTATTTACTTATTAATTTAGAATATATTCATGTTTGACTTAGAATATTTGTGGTAATGTAACCCCATCATAAGTCGAGCAGAACCTGTAGTATACAGGACTGTATATTCGCTACAGCATAGTACATATTTTATATTTATTTACATAAAATGTCTTTCAAAATCATCCAAGTGGATAATATTTTGAATAAGTATACTATTTTACATACAGATTGTGTTACCTCTGTATCAATGGCTGACCGTGTAGTACTTAGAGTACAGCAGAAGTTGGCGGGAGTTGAGGACGGATATTCACGTACTGTTGCTGAACAAGTTAATGGACTCATTCAGCAGGCAACTGACCATTCCAATCTTTCAAAACTGTTTCCAGGATGGCAACCATACCTGTAGACTTTCCTTCTCAGGCTTGACACTGGCAGTTATTTTATTTTAGTTATGAACTAAATTACATTTTATAATTTTGAATAAAGTCAATAGTATGTATTAATTTCAGTTTGTTGTGAACAGTTTGTGTTCAGAAATCTAAACATAATTTTATTATCTTTTACTTAAATTTTATGCAAGTTTCAGTATTTTTAAAAGCTGCAAAATGTAGTAATTCCTTATTTTTAATATGTCCAAAGCATATCAGTTTCATAAGAAATATAAAATTAAATTCATTTTTATGTAATTTAGAGTGATAATAGTAAATCTCAAGTGTACTCAAGCTCTGAAATTTTATAATAAATGGTATGAAACCTGTGTGTTTTGTGTATTTCCTAATACTCTTAAAATAATGATGGAAAATGGCTTCTGCATGCTGCCATGTATGCAATAAAATCTCCAAATTTTGTGTAGAGCTCATACATAATACAACCTTAAAGTGTTAAAAGTCTAGCTTCCCACTTCTCTCTATTGGACACAACTTGCTGCACACATTCTTTGCTTTCCTAACTGCATTTATTTACTACATCAAATATATCCATGTAGGAGATTGTGGAATAAGCTGTGTGAGCAAACTCAACCTCAACCATCTGCAGCTCAGCATAACCTGACTCGTATGCACCACACAAATATTTCTAAAATAAAAAGTCCTAAATGTTTACCTATATGTCTTTTTTCACAGCTTACCAATGTCATATACCAAGAGGTTTAACACTACTACCAGATGTTTATTAAACATCTCTCTTTTCTTCCCCTCCCCCTTCTCCACCATCTCTCCTCTCTTTTCTTCCCCTCCCCCTCTATCTCTCCCCTCCATTTGTCCTCTCTCTTCACCTCTGTTATGCCCATTTCACCTCTGGTACTTTACATGATTATAATCATAGTGAGAAGATTATTATGTTTTTCTTATGTCTTAGGCATCAGAAAACTAATGTGAGACCTTAATTGCCAGGGTGACCATGACTCTCTCAGACTGACTCATGTACCGACCTGTGTACTTTATAGGGATGTATCGGATATCCATATCCGCATCCACGGAACATCCACACAATTTCTTACATCCGCATCCTCAATTTTTTCTAAATGAGATATCCGCGTCCACATCCACAATCACGATTAAATAAATATCAACATCCGCATCTACGCCAAACAAAGAGGATGTGGCAGATATTATAACCTAAATTACAGAGCTTGCATGTTTATTTCCCACATACTTAAGAACATAAGAACAAAGAAAGGAGGAACACTGCAGCAGGCCTCTTGGCCCATACTAGGAAAGTCCTTCACAGTCCATCCTACTAACAAAATATTTGCCCAACCCAGCTTTCAGTGCCACCCAAGAAATAAGCTCTGATAATTCTATCCACTCATATGCAAGTCCCACTCAAATCCAACCCGGACATTCATATATTTATCCAACCAAAATTTGAAACTACCCGAGGTTTTGACTGTATCAAAAGCTTTACATAAGTCAATGAAAAATCCCAGTGGGGCTTCTTTCTTCTCGAGAGCGGTATATATTAGTTCTAGCATGTGTATAATAGCATCATTTGTGCTTTTATTATTCCTGAATCCAAACTGACAGGGTTGTAATATGTTGTTTGAAATGAGGTAGGAATAAATTCGTCTATGAATTAATTCTCAAAGATTTTAGAGAGTAGGGGTAAGTTAGAAATTGGTTTATTGCACAATAACACAAGACCAGTACAGAACAATAACACAGAAGACTACTCCAGTAAAATAACACAGAAGACTACTCCAGTAAAATAACACAGATGACCAGTACAATACAACAACACACAATACCAGTACAGTACAATAACACAGAAGACCAGTACAGTACAATAACACAGAAGACCAGTACAGTACAATAACACAGAAGACCAGTACAGTACAATAACACACAACACCAGTACAGTACAATAACAAAACACAACTCCAATACAATAACACACAAGACCAGTACAGTACAATAACACAGAAGACCAGAACAGTACAATAACACAGAAGACCAGAACAGTACAATAACACAGAAGACCAGTACAGTACAATCACACAAAAGACAATACGTCACCCCAATGAAAAGCAGGGGTGCGACTAGAGCGTAAAGCGTCAACTTAACAAATGTCAGGGGCCCAAGACTGTACAACTGATCTCAGCATACTTAAGGGGGATTAACAACAGACCCCATGCTGTCTTCAAGCAGGCACTGGACAAGCACCTAAAGTCAGTACCTGACCAGCCGGGATGTCGTTCATAAGTTGGATTGCGTGCAGCCAGCAATAACAGTCTGGTTGATCAGGCCCTGATCCACGAAGAGGCCTGGTCAGAGACCAGGCCGCATGGGAGTTGACCCCCAGAACTCTCTCCAGGCAAACTTCAGACTATTACAGTAAATAACACACAAGACCAGTGCAGTACAATAACAGACAAGACCAGTACAGTACAATGACACAGAAGAGCATTACAGTACATTAACTCAGAAGACCACTCTGGTGCAATAACACAGAAGACCAATACAGTATAATAACACAGAAGACCACTCCAGTGCAATAACACAGAAGACCAGTACATTAAAATAACACAGAAGACCAGTACATTTAAAAAACACAGAAGAACACTCCAGTACAATAACACAGAAATCGAAAGAACCCGAAGCATTTCTTTTCTTATGATAATCACCCCTCAAGGAAGGTTCCTTGATGTTGGTGAGGGGCTCTTGATTTAGGGAATTGGATCTGTGCTCCAGTTCCCCAAATTAAGCCTGAATGCCTTCCACATCCCCCCCCCCCCGAGGCGCTGTATAATCCTCCGGGTTTAGCGCTTCCCCCTTGATTATAATAATAATTATGATAAATCAATATTGAGAACAATGTCCAGTATTGGGCCCCTACTTAAACAAGATGGGTCCTACACAGATGACAGCAAGGAAATAAGTGAGCTGCTCAAGTCCCACCCCTCAAGGAAGGTTCCTTGATGTTGGTGAGGGGCTCTTGATTTAGGGAATTGGATCTGTGCTCCAGTTCCCCGAATTAAGCCTGAATGCCTTCCACATCCCCCCCCCAGGCGCTGTATAATCCTCTGGGTTTAGCGCTTCCCCCTTGATTATAATAATAATAATGCTCAAGTCCCAATATGACTCAGTTTTTAGCAAGCCGCTAACCAGGCTGAGAGTCGAAGATCTAAATGAGTTTTTTATGAGATAGCCACAGAATTTGGTAAACATAAGCCTATCTGATGTTATGCTGACGCCAAATAACTTCGAACAGGCGATAAATGAAATGCCCATGCACTCTGCCCTAGGACCAGACTCATGGAACTCCATGTTCATCAAGAACTTCAAGAAGCTCCTATCACAAGCTTTTACCATCCTATGGAGAGGTAGCATGGACACAGGGGTCATCCCACAGTTACTAAAAACAACAGACATAGCCCCACTCCACAAAGGGGGCAGTAAAGCAATAGCAAAGAACTACAGACCAATAGCACTAACATCCCATATCAAAAAAGTCTTTGAAAGGGTCCTAAGAAGCAAGATCGCCACCCATCTAGATACCCGTCAATTACACAACCCAGGGCAACATGGGTTTAGAGCAGGTCTCTCCTGTCTCTCTCAACTACTGGATCACTACGACAAGGTCCTAGATGCACTAGAATACAAAAAAGAATGCAGATGTAATATATACAGACATTGCAAAACCCTTCGACAAGTGTGACCAAGGCGTAATAGCACACAAAATGCGTGCTAATGGAATAACTGGAAAAGATGGTAGATGGATCTATAATTTCCTCACAAACAGAACTCAAAGAGTAGTAGTCAACAGAGTAAAGTCTGAGGAGGCTACAGTATAAAGCTCTGTTCCACAAGGCACAGTACTTGCTCCCATCTTGTTTCTCATCCTCATATCTGAGGTAGACAAGGATGCCAGCCACAGCACCGAGTCTTCCTTTATAGATGACACCCGAATGTGCATGACAGTGTCTTCCATTCCAGACACTGCAAGGCTCCAGGCGGACATCAACCAAATCTCTCAATGGGCTGCAGAAAACAATATGAAGTTCAACGATGAGTAATTTCAATTACTCCGATATTGTAAACATGAAGTAATTAAACCTCATCAGAGCAGAAAACAAATTCCGGCCTCAAAATAGGGCGAAAAAACCAACGTCAAAGACCGGGGAGTGATCATGTCGGAGGATCTCACCTTCAAGGACCATAACATAGTATCAATCGCAGCTGCTAGAAAAATGACAGGATGGATAATGAGAACCTTCAAAACTAGGGATGCCAAGCCCATGATGACACTCTTCAGGTCACTTGTTCTATCTAGGCTGGAATATTGCTGCACACTGACAGCACCTTTCAAGGCAGGTGAAATTGCTGACTTAGAAAATGTTCAGAGAACCTTCACGGAGCGCATAACGGAGACAAAACACCTCAGTTACTGGAATGCTTGAAGTTCCTGAACCTGTACTCCCTGGAACACAGGCGGGAGAGATACATGATTATATACACCAGAAAAATCCTAGAGATACTAGGACCAAACTTGCTCACAATAATCACTCAAAACGAAAGCAAAAGACTCAGCAGACAATGCAACATCCCCCCAATGAGAAGCAGGGGCATCACTAGCACGTTAGGAGACAATATAATAAGTGTCAGGGGCCCGAGACTGTTCAACTGCCTCCCAGCATGCATAAGGGGGATTACCAATAGACCCCTGGCTGTCTTCAGGCAGGCACTGGACAAGCACCTAAAGTCTGTACCTGATCAGCCGGGCTGTGGCTCGTACGTTGGGTTATTACAGCCAGCAGTAACAGCTTGGTTGATCAGGCTCTGATCCACCATGAGGCCTGGTCACAGACTGGGCTGCAGGGGCATTGAGCCCTGGAACTCTCTCCAGGTAAACTCCAGGCAAACTCCAGGAAGCCCAGCGCAGTACATTAACAAAGAAAACCATTCCAGTACAATAATACAGAAGTTCCAGAACCTATACTCCCTGGAAAGTAGGTGGGAGAGATACATGATTATATACACCTGCAAAATCCTAGAGGGACTAGTACAAAACTTACACACAAAAATCGTTCAATTCGTAAGCAAAAGACTCGGCAGACGATGCAACATCCCTCCAATGACAATCAGGGGTGTCACAACAAAGTACACCTACCATCCGACTTACGACCGAGTTCAGTTCCGAGAAACTGGTCGTAAGTCGAAATGGTCATAAGTCGAATATCAACAAAACATTTTTGTAATGACTTTATTTTGTTTTATTTTGGTATTTCAGGTTTTACT